AGTTGAGGTATTGGAGCCGAATTCTCAACGGCTACCTGTGATTACTGTATATATATAACCATATGCTATCTTTCACGAGCTCTAATGTGTCACTCTACTTTCTTCTTTTTATTAGTTTCTATCAATGAAACTTGCGACGGTGAACCCACGGCTTGATTGTAATATAGAAGGGCTTCTTGCGAAAGATGTAAGCTGATTTGTGTAGACTTAGCAATTACTCATGCCTATATGTATCTCTTCTAATCCATTAAAATACAGATAAATCAGTCACGGGCTGGTCCATCAACTCTGAGGTTCTCTCCGGACTTGTCTACGTGTTATACTCCTTTACATCCGTCTCAGCCTGGACATGTTCCGGGTGGCCTTCCTGTCATGGGGAATAATGCTGATTTTATGCGTAGAACGCTTGGTTCCTACTCCATGCCAATGGCAGGAGGATTCAAGGAACCTAATCAGGTTTTACTTCATTTTTCTTATAGTTCACCCTTTATATATGCTTTAGTGTTCTATGCGAATGACATAGAATGTTGTCTTCTTAACTTCATAAATGTATGAGGATTATAAATTTACTTTCTTGTCGATACATTTTGATTCTAGCTATCAAATGCATGGGAGGATGAGCTCCACAATGTCGTCCAAATGAACTACGGAGCCCGTGCTCCTTCCGATGGACAAGGAGTAAATGGTATATTGCTCTCTTTACTTAACACACTTTGAAGCTCGTGTCATAGGTTGAATATTCTTCGACCCTTGCTTTAATTTATCTATTTCTTTTGCAGGGTCTCAACCATCAGGCCATGCGAAAGTAGAACTTTGATCTTAAAGGGTTTACAGCTCCATTCTGGACAAGCTCATATTTATATCTCATTCTTGAAGGTAGCCAAGGACATGCAATCTGAATATGATGTCGCCATTTTCCTCCCCTGTACTTGTTGAATAACTGAAGATGCTATTGGCCGGGCTTTATAGTCGGGAATATCAGTCATGTTCGATCAAAGCAAGTGCATCTTGCTTCGTTAAATGTTTGTATAGATTGATGATATGATTTTTTTGTGTGTGATGTAGGAGTTATGTTTTATCTTGTAATAATTGATGGTGTCTTGCTGTAAATTACAGACAACAGTGAGATGTAAGTTGCAATATTTTTTAATTATATTTCAATGCCATATAATGTTCCTCAATTTCCTCTTAACACCCCAGGTTCATTGACACGACCAAGTGAATTTTTCTTCTTTTTTACATGGAATGATAGCTAGTTGAGCTGCTCGGCATCCTGTTTAAACGTCGTAAAATGCTCTCGGCGATCTGCCTCATACTGCCGTTCCCATGGTGAAAAGCACTATCCAACGAAGCAGGCAGCGACCTGTCCTGTATGATGTCCGAAGCCGACTTATTTCCACCTTTCACTAGGAATTTCTCAATCATCCAAAAATATTTTTAACACAGGCCATCTTCTTTGTGCTCTGTCACTGCATTCAAGATATGTTGAATGGTATTCAATTCATTCAACAGGCTAACACTCTTGTCGACCTCGACATTCACGTCCAACAAAGTAGATATAGCTCCCATTGAAGCTTCAACTACCTCACCATTCTCATGATCCAGGCATGCCAACAGCCTTTCGACGGCCTTTGCATCAATCAAACAAAATGTGGTTTCTGAAGAACAAACGCCTCTATGAACTGGACATATTAATGGTATCCCTATCCTTTTTGTTGAACTGGAAGATCGAAGTTTCGGAAGGTGGAACAATCTCGTAGACTTGGTTTTCTTCATTGTCGGTAGCTTTGATAGATTTATGGACTCTAATGAGAGATTCTCCAGTCCGATTGCTGATAATCTTTGAACTTCATCACTAGATGTCCTCGTGAGCAGTTCGGTGAACCCGATGTGAGTCTATGAGCTTTTTCCAGAGACAATATCTGTGGTTCATATAGTGTAGTTGTGAATCTAACAAGAATCCCAACTAGGCCCTCTACGTAAACGGTTGCATGCCTGCTAGTTCTTATTCCACTTCTTTGGGTTAAATCGATTTTCTGAAGGATTATAGGCACAACATTCTTGTGCAGAAGAGCAAGGTTGAGTGTTAGATTCTGCTGGGGGAGTTTTGCCACGAATTTTGCTGAAACTGCCTTCTTCTCGGTAATGTGGTTCGATTCCGCAGGGCTGTAGATCAAACTCTCAGGCAGCCCCTGGTTTTGCAGAGTCTATCTGCTAGTGTGTTACCTATGTGCGGTGAAAGGGTAATGAGTAGCTTGATTGCTGCAACCCCGAGTTGTTCGTGTGGGTAGTTGATGAATTCGATGAGGGTGTAGCTTGCTTCAGGCTCGTTCAAAGCCGAGAAAGCCGTTGCCATCGACTTGGATGACTTTGTCAGGGATAAGAGAATTCTGATGAGTTTGATGTTGAGCTCATGAGCTTTTGAGTTCTTAAGCATGCTGATAATGCTATAGATGACATAATCCGAACTTATCTTGTGTCCTTGGGGATTTACTTGGATGCTGTCATGCTCGACCCCGACTCCAGAATGTTAGCAAGTATAGCTGCAGCTTCTTTCTTTGAGTTCATGGGTTCATCCATCATCGTATATCCTACGAGTGAACATCTCTTCAACCATAATCTGGACGATACCGGCTACGACAAGTATCGTTCCATTCAAATGGTGAGACGAAATTTGTGCCAAAGCTTTGAATGCAGCTTCTCTGACAATGGAGTTTCCACTTTGCACCGTTTTAAGGAGCAGTCCTCTCAGCCACATAGGTTTTGCTGTCATTACCAAGAATGACTTCCACTAAGTAGCTTGCCATTTCCATCTTCACCTCCTTGGAACCTGCATATTTACACATATCAGCGTATTTCTCTTAAATTCATCATTTGGAAGAATGTCAATCATGAAGTTAGATTACCTTCTGTTAGATGATTCAGAAGAGGTTCATAGAAACCGTACTCGGCCATCCACTTACGGCTTTATGTTATCTCGAACTCGCTCCAGATTCTTTAAAATTTCATCTGCTGTTTGGGAAGCAAAGGAATCAACCTAGTGGTTGTACTTGATTCTGATCATAATCAAAATCGCTCCGGTTGCCGACCCGATATTTTCGGTTAAAGCTCAACATCTTGAAAGCTCAAGTAAGAAGAGCAATAATGCATAAAGAACTGGCTGGTGGCTACTTGATAACAACTCAACTAGTGTTGACATATCCATTGTATCAGCGATCATTTCCTGAACAAAACATCAAGAAAATGTTGCAGTAGTTAAGCCATAGTAAAATTTCTCCCGCTTTATGTTCTTTTCGTGTTCGTAAGAAAGAAAACCTTTCCTTTGTCATCGTCCTCGGCCAATTGTCGTAATAGGTCCAGAGCTTCACATCTGACATCTCTATCTTTGTATCCAAGTAACTTATTAAGCAATGGCAGTATTCCAGCACTAAGTACTTGCACCTTACTGTACTGTTTCCTTTTGCATATATGTTGCAGGTCCCGTATTGCCTCTAGTATCATACTATCCGAACTAGCCAAAGATAATGCTGCGCGAGCAACCTTGATCCTCGCAACGTCGTTCCGATCCTTCCATTGCTCTATCGTGGTCTTTAAAGCAACATTGGTGCTTAAAACCCTGCTTGTGAGCTTCATCCCTGTGGTTGGACATGTTATATCCTCTAGATGACTGAAAGTTTCAAACCACTCCGATATCGCATTCCGCTCGTAGGTCACTCCACTCTCAATGGTAACTGCATCATCCATAATCTGCTTAGTTAATGGACAGAAGAAAGTGTCGTACATAGGTTCGATATAAGAGCTACCTTTGGCAACGTTGTCAAGGATTTGTTTATACTCTCATACTGTCTTCTAGGACTTGAAATTTTAAGGAAATCATTTAGCAACTGCATTTTCAAAGCTCAAGAATTTTCGGTGGAGACGGAGACTTCGACGTCGACAGAGTAAATATCGGATTCCATTGGCATTTGTTGTGGCATTTGAGAAAGTAGAATTTCGGGTTGGATTAGTTTCTGGCGGAAGAAATATGCTCTTCGGATAGGATCAGGTCAGATGGAGAGTATATACTTTTTGAATCAGATCGAGTACATGTTAAGTGTATATATTTTTCAAGTTGATCGAATTGATAAAGAATCCGACCCAACTCAATTCGTTACCATCTCTAATCAAATCTTTATAAAAAGGTAAAAAAGGTATAAGATGTTCTTGTACTTTAGAAAAAACCAATGTGTACATTATATTATTTTCTCTCTCACGTGCCCTCCTACTCAGAAAATTAAGTCTAATGTATCCTTTGACTAACGTTTTTCGCCGTTGCCCATTACAATATTGACGTGACAATTTACGGTGTCAACGTGACGGTCCATGATATTGATATGACAGTCTATGATGGTTGAAAACATGACTAATAACATGATAAATGAACTAAATTGGTAACCCTAACCTGACAGATTAACTGTCACATCAATATCATAACGATCAAACGACGAAAAACGTTAATCAAATGATTATATTAAAAATAATACGAATACTGCGTTAACTTTTTCTTCTTAAGAATACAGAGACCTTGCCTTATAAAAATTACTAATAATATTATTTTCTGTATAATTAATTTTTAAAATATACATAAAGGGGTTTCCAATTTAGTTTCTTTTATGCATATAAAGAAGCTTCGTGGGCGGCACGAAATCGGAATTAGAGTCCTACGCAGTTTATTTCTAGGTATAGATTTCAAACCGAAAATCTCTCAACTTTACAATATATTTATATTCCATCAAATCCTATCATTAAATTCAATCTTTGTTTGTTCTTTGAATTTGAGTGAACTAAATCCTTGGGTTCTTATCAAGCTCTCCGCTTTTAAAACATCAGCAATTCCCAGTCGTCAAGGTAATGATTTTTCTATGTTTTTGCAGTTAAGTTTCCTTCGATTTTTCGTTTATTAATGAAGATGATCGACTTGGGTTTTGTTTCATGTCTTGTTATGATTTCAGGCCTGAATCATGGGAGCTTGTTGTTCTACTTTCCACACCAGCGAACATGAAGAAGACGGTCCCCTTTATCATACCCACAACTCCATCCATGCCCTATGGGACAAGGTATCATGTCGAATTATCGTGTCTCTTTAAGCTAGGTTTGAGACAGAGATTTTGTTGTTAGTTTCGGACATGAACAAACCAGCAATTTTGAGGTGATTTTTGATTCTATGTACTCGTCGTTATGCAGTTCACCGGAGTAATCAGCGATATGCAATCTGATGCCCCGGCTTCGAATTCTCAAGCCTCAGCCCTCAATGCTGCATCCAATGATATACAGTCCGGCGATATTGTCACATTGGCTCCAAGTGTCTTGCGTTTCAATGAAGATACCGACAAGGATCATCGACCGATTAAAACACGGGAGAATGATAGTAACGGAGACGAGTCAAGTGGACTTCGATGCAAAGGAAGATCGGTGGTAGAGTGCCTATCGGAATTCTCGAACGAGAAACCTGAAGCTGAAGTTGCTTGTGCCTATGGATCATCAGAGGATGAGGATGTCTGTCCCACATGTCTTGAAGGTAAATCACCTTTTGGATTGTTGATTCCTTAATCAGTTTATTTTAGATGTACATTGTCTTAATTCAACTGATTTCGCCTATCGATTTATCGTCGCAGAGTACGAACCTGAAAATCCACAAATAGTTCTTCAATGTTCCCACAGCTACCACCTCGGTTGCATATACGAGTGGATGGAGAGGTCAGAAAACTGTCCAATTTGTGGAAAGGTAATGTGTTTCTTACAAGCTTCTGCAATTGTTCCATAATCCTTAATATTTAACATCTGTTTTAAGTTCTATCAACCATTACCCAACATGTTATTCTTCGAATGTCGAGAATCGAACACTGAACCAGAACTGTTAGCTCTTCATACCATATAGATGAACAATTATAGTGTCATACTTTGTGTAGCATGCTTAGTTTGATTCATTCGACATTTTCCTACAACATATGACTGATTATTGATTGAATCTGCAGAAGATGATGTTTGATGAAGCAGCTTGAAATCAGATGACCGGAGACACGCACACACCGAAGATTAACATGATTTTTTTTTAATTAGTTTTAAGGGCACATTTGAATGAGTTTTTGATAAGCATGTATTACAGGTTAGTACATTTCCATTCATACAATGGCATTAAACAATGTATCTTTTTTCCTGATGCAAATTGCCTTGTGATAAGCAGCTACTGATAATTACTAACGAGAGAAATACAAAATCCAGATATACACGTATCGTCCACGTAGATATATAGATAGACATGTATGTTAAGTTAATGCAGACATAGAAGGCATGAGTCTTCTTTCTCATGCTTTGCATGGATCTATGTTCATCTTAACATAAACCGAAAGCATTGATGAAACCGTATCGATTTTCAAGCAGCAAAGCATCCCAGATGGCATGAATAAATAGGTTCCACAGTAAGATCAAGTTCATTCCTCCTCATTTCTGTTGCTTCTTCCTGGTATGCGCCGCTGCGTCAATCAAATCTTTCATTATAGACACGAAAATGTTTCGGATTGCCTTCTTTGGACTACGTTTTAGGTTTTACCCGACATTTAGGCAGGGCGGAGGCTGTGGCAGCAGAAAGGATGATGAGTTGAGGCCATGGTCTTGCTGCCCCCACTGTGACTGTTGCTGCTGCTGCGCGACTGTCTTCTCCCTCTCCTTAATCTACACATACAAAGGAGATCACAAACGTCAAGATTTAAACCTCGTATTTACATTTCGTACATCGAAACTCTTACAATTGATTCAACGACTAAAACCATATGGTGTTTTGCTAGTCACCTGCTTTGCTAGCATGGTGTTTTGCTCCTGTATTGCCTTCTCCTGTCATATAGGCACCACAAATAGAGATGACATTACAAAAACCGAAATCGATTAGCTTCGTTCTCTATTACTTGTTACCACTAGAATTCTTACACCAGTAAGATATATAAGATTCGAGTTCATATAATGCACCATATATGTTCTATGTGTTAGTGTGATAATGTCCTTACCTTTCTCTGAAGGTCAGAGATTGACTCATACATGAGCTGGTTCTGCAGAAAAACAGAAAGGCCACAAAATTCATCACTAAAACAACAAGAAAACATGTTCTAATGGTAAAGACTATAACGGAGGAAAAAGCATGCTTTTTTCGAACGAATAAGCTTAAGAGCAGTATCAAGCTGCTGCTCCAAATTCTGCAGCTCCTTGAGACTCAGTAAGTCCAATTCTTCTCCCATGTAATGCCTGGAGAACAAATAAAGCCCTATGTAAGATTCGAAAGTTTCGATTTTTAATATTCGTATTCGACACATATTCGGGATATGATCGCATGAACTAATGATGCTTGACACATTCAGAAATGAGCACATGAACTTATGCTAGTTAGTACCTGTGATTTCTCTGCAAGAGCTCAACCTTAGCCTTAAGCCTATTGTAATCCATGGACCAGTTGCCCTGTCACAAACAGGTTTCAAATTCCAACACAATTTTTTTCAGTCCAAAATTATTGTACCTAAAGGCAAAAACTAAGATTCTGTAATGAAACGACAGCTGTAACCATTAAAAATCTAGAGAGAAAAAAACGTAAACTTCAAATCAGACCCTTTTTTTGCTGTCAAAATGCCATTTGCAAACACTAATACAATATAGATTAAGATGGTACTCATCATGGAAAACTGGCGAAACATCAACGGCGTGAAAAGACGTATTTTGTACCTGAGAGTCAGACTCAGATGCAACAAGCTGTCTCTCTGCATACGAATACCTTTCATAACGTTCAAGGATCTTCTCCATGCTGTTGCAGAAGATGAGGAAAATATACTATCAGTCTCACATGGACAAGATTTGCTTTCCCAAGTAAAGCATGCATAAACACAATAATCCTTTCTTTCTTTCTTTTTAAAGAAATTTCCATATCCTTTTCACGTGTATATTTAGATTTTTCCCTTAAGTTTACATGTATTTGAAGAATCTTTCAATGTCATATTAGGGTGATTCAAGTCTTAAATATATAAATTTTAGAAACCAATTCATTAACTTCTTTTAGGGTTATATGAAGCAACACTTATCCATGAAGGAATATTGGAATTTCAAGCCCTCTTGGTGCCCTAACCCTACTACCCTCTCTTTTTTAACAAAAATCCCTAATTTAAGAACAAAGGAAAACCTTTTCTTCAAAAAGGAAAATAAATTGCCAAATATATATGTATATGAATTTTCATATAACCATGTTGTTATGGTCTATCTTGTTTCTATCTTTAGACGAAAAACATGTTTCTCACCATGATTTTTTACTTCTCAGATGCCAAAAGATGGAGTTCTGTGCATACGACAGAAGCTTTGTATATTTATCCTAATCTAGAAAGTTATAATTTGACCATCGGTACATATATATATATATATAATATATTATTTCTTCTTCTTCTTCCAATGGTCAATAACTTTCTTTTACCTCACCCCAAAGGTTTCCATTCTTTTGCTACTTCAACATCCCCGAAACGCTTGTAAATTCCATTACTGATATAGTTATATTCACGTTTTCAAGGTCTCCTTTTCGCCTGAAACTCATTAATATTCCCCTTAATTTCACCTGCTAAAACTTTTTCAGGAAAACTGCTGAAGAACTTCCAGCAGGTGACAAAGTTTACCTGGAATCACTGGAGTATTCAAAGAGCTTCCCTTTGTGGGAGAAGACGATCAGAGCGACCTCGGCATCGCACAAAATGGAGATCTCATGAGCTTTCTTCAACAACCCAGCTCTCCTCTTGGAGAAGGTGACTTGCCTGTTGATTTTGTTCTCGATCCTCTTCAACTGAACCCTACCCCTCCCCATGACAAAAAAAAACCCAGAAAACGAAGAAGATGAAGGAAACTGATTCTATTTTCTTCCTGTTGTTGTTTGCAAGCATGCACAGATATATAGAATCGGAAAACTAAGAGACAAATCAGAAAGAAAAGAAAAGAAACAAAACCCTGAAAGTGGAAGTGGTTTTAGGAGAAAGAGGATTAAAAACCAGAGTGGTTTCTTAAGGATGTGCTGTCGGATTCTGATTGGTTGGAACATAACAGTTCAGTCGTTTCTGTCTCGTGCTGGATCATAGCCCTATAGATGCCGTCAGATATCTGTACGGAAACCCTTCGCTGTCACACACTTGCCAGCTGACGGCGTAGATCTTTCCCTCTTGAAAACAAAGATATTATATTAATATATGTGATTACTATGTCATAATGGATTCTTCTTTCTATAAAAAAAATACGCTAGTTTTAATAAAAATATAAAATATTTAAAATTATAATAAAAATTTATGAGCATAATCATAAACGTAAACTAAATTATATTAAGGATATTTTTCTATAATTATTAACATAAAAATTAGTCGTCTAGATCACACAAGGATCATAAAAAAATGTTAAGAAATCTAATCAATGCTTGAATAAAATAAAGATACGAACAAATCTAAATGCATCGATAAATAAACCACAAAAGGTGATGAAACTAATGAAATATCACCAACAAATCACAAATCAGAGTCAAGCGACGTGAGAAAACTATCCACGAGCGTAAAAAATGTATCCAAATCAACTCAAGGGTCCAAAGCAGGGAAAATAAACAAGACAACTAATAAGTTCTATCTTGATCAGTCGTGGCGATGTCAAATCCAACCCTGTGAAAAAAGATGAATGAAAAAATAGTAAAAAATCATAAGCTACCAAAAGACAGAAAAAAACGTGTCACAAAAGCATAGATAAATGTGCCATAAACGTAGTGAACATGTTACAAACACATAACTATTTTTATTAAAAACTAAAAAAGAAAAAAAGAAAAAATATAATCGGCGAGCAGCAATCATCATCAAAACTGGTGATGTAGCCGGTTAAATAAAATTAAAAAAAAAGTTGGATTGATCAATAAAATTGATACAAATTGTAAAAAAAAAAGAAGAAGAAGGAAGAGGAGAGAACGAAAACATCTAGTATAATGTTTTTTTAATAATTTAACGTAGGATAAACTTCATATTTAGTATATTAATTATCAGTTTTGATCTGTTTTGGTATCTAAATTTTCGTTTTTTAACAAAAATGAAATAAAAACTATAGTTTTTAACGATGAATTCTAAAATGAAACAAAAACTAAACTTCAGATATAATTCTGAAAAAATTGGAAGGTTAGATACTAAAACTGACCAAAATTAATAATTTAAGTACTAAATGCGTAATTTATCTTTTAATTTAATAAAACTCTAAACTTGTAATTTAATCTCTTCACACTTTGCCTAAAATTAAATTCCTGCAATTGTGGTACCTTTCTTCAGGGAGGTACATTTCTTCTATGTAAAAGCTAGTGCTCGTTAATTAATATATTTAATGAGAGTGGTACCTTTGATAGAATAGGAAATATCATAATTCAATTAAAAATATATAATGAAATTAAAAATGATATTTTAAATTAAAAACTTATATTTATATTTGAGAATAATTAAAATTTTATTACTTAATTTTCTTCTTATGCTTATTTTGATCATTGAATTTTAAAAAAAATATTTTACTCATTAATCTTTTAATTTGTTTCTTTATTGGTCATGTTGTCATCAAATACTTAACGGATTTATGATTGGATAACTTTATTTTATAAATTTTGAAGTGACCCTAAAATTTTTTATTTTTTATGAAAAATTTCTTACTTTTAAATTTCCTTTGATTTCTTTATGCTGAAGCATCTTCTTTCAAATCTTAACGATGGAGAAGGATGAACCGAGTTGATTCCATATTACTCGGATGATAGTTATTATAGATCATAATATTTTACAATTTCATGAGTTTGAAGTTTCGGAGTTGAATTTCATGAATTTTAAAACGATTTACGTAAAATCCAAATTGATAGACTAATAAGAGACGATGAGATGATACCTTGAATGATTAGCGAATGATAATTGAAGTGTCGGCGTGAGATAATAAAGGAAGAAGATAAAATCGAAAGGAAAGAAAGAAAGAAAAAAATGACGTGAATGTCATGTCAACTAAAATCAACCTATATTTGTATATATGATTGTCATGTCACTCTTTCGTCATAATAGAGTAAATTAAAAGTTTATTGAATAAATTATTTTTAAAAATATTAATAATCAAAACATAAGTAAAAAAAAGTTAAACGATGAAATTTATAATTTGCATTAAAAATATTTAATTTAAATTCAATTAAAAATATTTAATAATCAAAATAGTAGTGCAATTAACGGCACATATTATAGGTGGAAAGGATGAAAATGTAAAAGGGACAAAGGGTCAGGGGGTCGGTTGAAATTAATTTTCCAGTTTTGTCCACATTTACAAGAATAGCAATGCAAGACAAAGGTTAATGGAAAATAATATAAGGACTTGAACGATGTAATTTCCACAACACGAGGACCATTCTTTCTTTGAAAAATAATGTACACACAACCTCTTGCATGAGGATAAACATTGTCAGCTCTTTTTGTGCAAAGTCTATTTATTCATTATTAATTAGGTCGAATTTTTATTTTTATTTGAAAATGGATTTTATAAAGAGAAAATCGCCTCAGTGACCAAAAAAAAGTTATAATATACGATTTTAACCAACTTTTTTTGGATTTGCGAAAATGACCAACAAAATCGCAACGCGAAATAAAAATCGCAACGCGATTTAGAAAATCGCAACGTTGAAAAGAAAATCGCAACGGTCAAAAGAAAATCGCAACGCGATATTCCAAGAATCGCAATGCGATTAAGAGAATCGCAACGCGATCTTCCAAGAATCGCAACGCGATTCAGAAAATCGCAACGCGATTCCAAGAATCGCAACGCGATTCAGAAAATCGCAACGCGATTAAGAAAATGAGTAAATTCTTTCAAAAGCTATTGTATTTGTTTCTTTCTTAAGAATTTTCTCTAAAAAGATAGTATCCGCGCGGACGTGTCGAAGACACGTATTACCACGACCACGACCACGACCACGACCACGACCACGACCCGAGACGAGACGAGACGGCGGCGGCGGCGCGCGAGAGTCCCCCTTGTTCTCTTTCACTCAACAAGGAAATGGGAAATCCAAGCCTTAAATACTCTTCCCAATAGTGTTTCCAATACTATGTGGGATTGAGCATTACTCAACACTTCAAAGAAAATATAGCAATTTTTGTAGCATGTTTCCCGCTTAATCCATATTTAAAAATATTAAAACATTTTATCATATTAAAACTATATGTATAAGTTTGAATTGAAATGTAGATATCTACAACTCTTTTAATTCTCTTGATAAAATGTTTTAATATTTTTAGATATGGATTAAGCGGGAAAATACTACAAAAATTGCTATATTTTCTTTGAAGTGTTGAGTAATGCTCAATCCCACATAGTATTGGAAACACTATTGGGAAGTGTATTTAAGGCTTGGATTTCCCATTTCCTTGTTGAGTGAAAGAGAACAAGGGGGACTCTCGCGCGCCGCCGCCGCCGTCTCGTCTCGTCTCGGGTCGTGGTCGTGGTCGTGGTCGTGGTCGTGGTCGTGGTCGTGGTCGTGGTCGTGGTAATACGTGCGGATACTATCTTTTTAGAGAAAATTCTTAAGAAAGAAACAAATACAATAGCTTTTGAAAGAATTTACTCATTTTCTTAATCGCATTGCGATTTTCTTAATCGCGTTGCGATTCTTGGAATCGCGTTGCGATTCTTGGAATCGCGTTGCGATTTTCTTAATCGCGTTGCGATTCTTGGAATCGCGTTGCGATTCTTGGAATCGCGTTGCGATTTTCTTAATCGCGTTGCGATTCTTGGAATCGCGTTGCGATTTTCTTAATCGCGTTGCGATTTTCTGAATCGCGTTGCGATTCTTGGAATCGCGTTGCGATTTTCTTAATCGCGTTGCGATTTTCTTAATCGCGTTGCGATTTTCTGAATCGCGTTGCGATTCTTGGAATCGCGTTGCGATTTTCTTAATCGCGTTGCGATTCTTGGAAGATCGCGTTGCGATTCTCTTAATCGCATTGCGATTCTTGGAATATCGCGTTGCGATTTTCTTTTGACCGTTGCGATTTTCTTTTCAACGTTGCGATTTTCTAAATCGCGTTGCGATTTTTATTTCGCGTTGCGATTTTGTTGGTCATTTTCGCAAATCCAAAAAAAGTTGGTTAAAATCGTATATTATAACTTTTTTTTGGTCACTGAGGCGATTTTCTCTTTTATAAAACATGTCCACGATAATTTTTTTTTGTTGTCCTTACGATTTTAAAGTTTCATTCTGATCAATCTAGACCGATCCGCGTCATAAACCTAATTTTGGTGAGTGAATCTCCCAACGGAAATTTTCTACATGCACAAGGACTCGAACTCGATACATTGCTTATTATTGTTGATGGAATCATTTTATTTGTGATGGTTATAAGCGATTTATTCTTTTTTATTTGGACGTGAGTTATAATTATTAAGTTTGCAATTGATATTCGATAGAAGGCGATGGGGTTATAAACGATTCATGTCGTTTGATTAAATTATATTTGAAGTGTACTAAAAAGTATTTGAGAAGAAGAAGACATCTTTTTGGTCTTGGTTGAAGATTATAATGGCTTGTAGTGTCGATGTTAAACCAAGTTCATAATCACTACTTGTAGGTTGACAGGATGAATAGACTCGACTGTCAGTAAATCACGTGGATCTATCAATAATTATATCAAGGGTTATAACCGAAGAAAAACATGAAATTTTGGAGGATTCAAGGAACTCGAGAAAATGTGGAAGTCCAAAGAAGTAGCGGCGAAGGTGTAGCCTAGTATGACCCAAGGAGAATATATAACAATTATACAGCACGTAACATCTATAATATCCATAATCGCGTTCATAATAGATATCATAATTATAATTTAGTACTCTTTCTGTCTCATAAAATATGTCTAGTATTGATTTTTTTTTGTCAATTTTTTAAAACTTTTATTAATTATTAT